TCAAACTACCGCACAATTACACTCATCTCACACGCTAGTAATGCTCAAAATTCTCCAAGCCAGGCTTCAGCAATACATGAACTGTGGACTTCCAGATGTTCAAGCTGGTTTTAGAAAAGGCAGAGGAACCAGAGATCAAATTGCCAACATCTGCTGGATCATCGAAAAAGCAAGAGAATTCCAGAAAAACATCTATTTCTGCTTTATTGACTATGCCAAAGCCTCTGACTGTGTGGATCACAATAAACTGTGGCAAATTCTGAAAGAGATGGGAATACCAGACCACCTGACCTGCCTCTTGAGAAACCTACATGCAGGTCAGGAAGCAACAGTTAGAACTGGACATGGAACAACAGACTGGTTCCAAATAGGAAAAGGAGTACATCAAGGCTGTATATTGTCACCCTGCTTATTTAACATAAGTTAAATATGTACGCAGAGTACATCATGAGAAACGCTGGGCTGGAAAAAGCACAAGCTGGAATCAAGATTGCCAGGAGAAATACCAATAACCTCAGATGTGCAGATGACACTACCCTTATGGCAGAAAGTGAAGAGGAACTAAAGAGCCTCTTGATGAAAGTGAAAGAGGAGAGTGAAAAAGTTGGCTTAAAGCTCCACATTCAGAAAACTAAGATCATGGCATCTGGTCCCATCACTTCATGGGAAATAGATGGGGAAACAGTGGAAACAGTGTCAGACTTTATTTTTGGGGGCTCCAAAATCACTGCAGATTGTGATTGCTTTCGTGAAATTAAAAGATGCTTACTCCTTGGAAGGAAAGTTATGACCAACCTAGATAGCATATTAAAAAGCAGAGACAATATTTTGCCAACAAAGGTCTGTCTAGTCAAGGCTATGGTTTTTCCAGTGGTCATGTATGGATGTGAGAGTTAGACTGTGAAGAAAGCTGAGCACTGAAAAATTGATGCTTTTGAACTGTGGTGTTGGAGAAGACTCTTGAGAGTCCCTTGGACTGCAAGGAGATCCAACCAGTCCATCCTAAAGGAGATCAGTCCTGGGTGTTCATTGAAAGGACTGATGCTGAAGCTGAAACTCCAATACTTTGGCCACCTCATGCAAAGAGCTGACTCATTGGAAAAGACCCTGATGCTGGGAGGGATTTGGGGCAGGAGGAGAAGGGGACGACAGAGGATGAGATGGTTGGATGGCATCACTGACTCGATGGACATGAGTTTGAGTAAACTCCGGGAGTTGGTGATGGACAGGGAGGCCTGGCGTGCTGCGATTCATGGGGCTGCAAAGAGTTGGACACCACTGAGTGACTGAACTGAACTGAACTGACTGAATACAAATTAAAATCACGAGAGACTACTGAATACCCTTTGGAATGGCTAATATTAAAAAAGAATGATGCTGGGGAAAATTGAGGGCAGGAGGAGAAGGGGGCAACAGAAGATGAGATGGTTGGATGGCATCATCAACTCAACGGACGTGAGTTTGAGCAAACTCCGAGAGACAGTGAAGGACAGTGAAGCCTGGCATGCTGCAGTCTATGGTGCTGCAAAAAGTCAGACACGACTTAGTGACTGAACAACAACAACAAAAAAGACTAACAACAGCAAGTGCTTGCAATGATGAGGAGGGATGAAATTCTCAAACACTGTTAGTATATGCAGGTCAGAAAACAGATTGACAGTTTCTTAGTGGAAGTCGCTCTTAGTATTGATATGATACAATAACTTGAATTTACTTTCTAAGATAAGGGTTATCAAATTATGCACCATGAACCAAATTTTGTCTATTGCCTGTTTTAGTATGGCCCATGAGCTGTTAACATTTTCAAAGGTTTGTTGAACACACAAACACTTGCACAAACAAGAATATGCATCAGAGACTACATGTGACCTGAAACGACTGAAATATTTACTTTCTTGTTCTTTACAGAAAATGTTTGCCAGCCTGTTGAAAGTCAGAAGCTTTTGAAATTTTGGGGTCATAATCCACAGGAATACATTATGTATTCATCTCAGTATTTTCATCCATCCATCTACCTACCTACCTACCTATCAATCAGTCTTCTATTGACTACTAAAATAAAAGTTGCACAAAATAATAACCCTAACTTCCATTTAGGGCTTCCCTTGTGGCTCAGCTGGTAAAGAATCCACCTGCAATGTGGGAGACCTCGGTTCCTGTGTTGGGAAGATCCTCTGGAGAAGGGAAAGGCTACCCACTCCAGCATTCTGGCCTGGAGAATGTGATGGACTATATAATCCATGGTTTCACAAAGAGTCGGATGTGACTGAGTGACTTTCACTTTCATTTTTCGACTTAAGCTGCAACTCTCCTCTCTCTTCTTTCCTACCTTTTCTTATTGAATTATTTAAATAAAATTCTAAATATAACTTACTACCTCTCTGCCTAAAATATTCAGCTGTCTTTATCTGGACAGCGCCATCACCCAGGACTCTGGCCAGCCTCCTCTCCTGTGAAGATTGCACAGCTCCTGCAGGCTCAGTCACTGCCCTTTCCTCCGTGCTTCCCCCACCCCACCCTCACCCTGTGTCTTCTGCTATGCTGATCTTCACCACTGAAGTGAAGAAGCAAAGTCGCTCCATCATGTCCGACTCTTCGCGACCCCATGGACTGGGGCCTACCAGGCTCCTCTCATGGGAGACCCGGGTTAAATCCCTGGGTCGGGAAGATCCCCTGGAGAAGCAAATGGCAACCCACTCCAGTACTCTTGCCTGGAAAATCCCATAGACGGAGGAGCGTGGTAGGCTACAGTCCATGGGGTCGCAAAGAGTTGGACACGATTGAGTGACTTCACCACTGAGCTGGCCCTAATCTGTTCTGCACATAATTTCCTGACTGTATATTGTCCAGGGTAGGGGTTGCTTTTCATTCATCATTCTGGACATGTGCCTGTCACATAGTGGCTGCTCATTAAGTATTTCAGAAATGAATGAGTGAATAAATTAACAAATGAAAGAATGGGTGTTTAAATGAATTAACGAACAAGAGCTAAGCACTTCTACGTCCCAGGTTGTTTCTCATTTCATTAAATCTGCCTCTTTGCAACCCCATGAACTGCAGTACACCAGGCTTCCCTGTCCATCACCAACTCCCGGAGATTGCTCAAATCTGCCTTTGCTTGCATATTAATTGTTTCAAAAAAAGAGTAACACAGTTTTCACTCATATATATGATGTCTCTTGATTTAGATCAGAAGCTTCTAAAGGGCATGTGCATCTTCTCACTATGCTTTTCATTCTGTCAGATCCAGATATATCAGGGTGTGATAAAGTTTCTGAATGCTCACTTTTGCAATATACTTGTACAATAATTTTCTTCACTTGTTTTGAGGGAAATTTCTGCAAAGGTTTTAGTTCAGAGAGTGTTGCAATAAGATGTTATCCTAGCACAGTCACGAAAAAGAAATAACCTGCTGATTCTTTTTTTTTTTTTTTTGCTGACAGAAGAAACATTCAACTTTCCATCTCTTTAGATGTTTAAATGAGAGCCTATATTTCAGTGTTCAGAACCTTCAAAACATACATTATTTGCTTGTGTAAAACATGATAATATGGACTCAGTGGAAACACTATTTACAGTCTCTTTCATGTCCTAGTCAAACTTATAGAAATACTTTTTAAAGGAACACACCTACTACATTAAGCTTGAACCTATTCTCCTAAGTGTGTACAAAGTATTCAATCAAAGAAATAGCTACTAAGTCCAAAACTTTCTTTTATTTCTGGTAGCTGACTTGAAGAGATAAAATTTGGCAAGAATAAAAGGACCAAGATTAAGCTCCTCCTAAATGTGAGAATAAACAGAAGCACAGACATGCTGATTATCACAAGCCTTATCTGCCGACTTTAGATCAATGGTTCTCAACCAAGAGGGACTGTGCGCCACAGGGGACATTTGATGACGTTTGAAGATATTTTGGTTATCTCAACTGGGACCTTGCTACTGGCATCAAGTGGACGAAAGCCAGAGAGCGGATGGTTCTAAACACCCCACAATACAAAGAACAAGCCCCCGCAATAAAGAATTATCTGGCTCCACGTCAGTAGCGCCAAGGTTAGGAAAGCATGCCCTAGACTTAAACATTTCCTCATCAGTGAGGCAAAACAGTAGAAAAAGATGAGTTCACATTCCTAATTACTCTCCTTTCCCCCCAAAACCTAGAATTAGGGGGAAATGAATTATGACGCTATTTTCATAGTTCAATAAAGATAGCATTTGGAAAGAAATAGGATAGGGAAAAATGGGGGTGGGAGGAGCATTTCAAGCAACTAAGTTCTTAGAAGGAAAACATATCTTAGACATTTTCATTTCCATTGTAGGAAATGTTAGCATCAGCAATGGGTTTTAACCATCCAGGCAGATGGGTTATTGGAACTAAAGTCATACTACAAGGTCTACACCTCCTCCAGGAGTAAAATTTCCCTAGAGCTAAGTGAATTTTAAATACAAGAGACTTGCAATGGCTTTAATTAGCATTTTAACTCTCATGGGTGATTTTAAAAGGGATTAGGAAGTTGAAATCTGATGCATCTCTAGAAAAGCTAACCAGGCTTAGTCATTACAAAGGGTATTTTAATACTAATAGGTAAATGGAAATATTCCATTTTCAAAGGGACAATTCAGAGGAAGTGTATTCATTGGACCTTGTGACAGACATACCAACATCTTGGAAGATATCCAAGGAAGACTATTTTCCATTATCTCTACACCTGCATTTGCATTGCAAAATAATCTTTACTACAATAAATGTTGGTTATTTGCTTCCAAAAGGGAAAACAAATACAAAATTGCTCAAACTAAATATTTTTACAATATATATGGATGTGAGGTTTTTTTGAAAAGACCTTTCAGTGGAGGCTACTACAATTAATTAGTTGGGACTTTGACCAAAACATCTGTGAATACTGCTGTCTTTCTTAATGTATGATTCTAGAACAGTACAACACTGTTGTATATTCCTAAATACAGAGATCTCCAACTCCCCAGGGACATATACTAACCACCAATCTGTGATAAATATTTCTTCTTTTGCCTCTTCCATTGCATTTGCCACATCTTCAAAATATCCTTTGGCATTAACATACCTGAAAGACACGTTTTCTGTTTCATTTTTTTTAACCAAAAAGATAAAAAAAGAAATCTATCATATGGCAAAACAGAAGATGGAAGCCACTGCCTAGAATCTCTACAAAACCACCAGCTTACTTTGTATAACTGGAAACAAAGACTGAAAATAGCATGTTCTGTTTGCTATGCAGGAAGTACAGTAAATAGACAGAAGTAGGCAACCTGACTCTTTTCTGCTGAGAGAATAACAAATTGAATGCTCTCATCATTGTATGAGGTCAGATGCACTCTCCCACTCTACTGAACTCACACACCATTGTTCTTCTGAGACTGAAAACAGACCATTTTCTAACCCATGGGTAGAATAACATGCTAAGCAAAATTTTATTTAAAAGAAATGCCTACCAAGTAAATTTCTTTCTTAAATTATGGCTAATGACTTAAATAAACTTTTCATTTGCATCATTAAGAAAATGTATGAAGCTAACTTTTAAAATCAAACTTCACAATCTAAAGCTAGCTATCTAAAGTTCATTTTTTAAAAAATCGTAAAAACAAAAAATGGAAAAATAATCTATGCTTAGGTAGTCCTATAAAGGCTCTTGGGAAGTATAACACATAATATTTTTTTGCAGCTTCAAAAATTGATTCTGGGTGAACTTAGACCACTGTAATATTAAATGCTAATATTAAATATTAAAGACTATGACTACCTTCATAGTCTTAGAGCAAAACGATCTTACCATTTAGCTAAAGTGTTCTCTTGGATAGCAGCATATGACCCAAATCGATGATCTTTGAGAAAGTCGGGGCCATACTTCTGGATGAATTCTTCTATAGCCCCTCCCCACCACCGAGCATGTCTATAGCTGTTGCATTTTAAAATCAGTGTCCTTCAAAGAAAAGCAAAATATGGAAAAGAATGGTCACTTTATGCTCTATCTCTTTAAACAATTTAAGAATTAAACATGTCCCATTTGTTTTGGTACTGCAACAAAGAAAATTTTAGACAAAGAGCATCCTACTGATATGAAAAAAGCAGACTTTTAAATGGTTTTGACAGTATTTATAAATATATTCAATGTAGCAAAACAAACTTTCAGGTTACTTATTCCCTCATTCACTTATGCAAACATATGTAAAGGCCTGGAGCTAACTGGGCCAAGCTGTGAGGAAGACATGGAAGAGGCATAAAGTGAGGTCCTACATCTAAGTCTTAGAAAACTACGGGCTCCTGTAAAGGACATTTCCCTTTGGCCCACCTGGTGTCTATTCCCTCAGCCTCTGGAAATAGCCTGATCATCCCGTGCCTTCTCTGGGTCTACCAAACCCTCAAAAATGGCATACTCCAGCTCCTCATTCCAAAGACTGGTTCAAGGATGATATTCATAAGCCAACTCCACCCAAAAAGTGAAAATAAAATCAAGGACTTGCTCAGAAATGCCAGCAGGAGACTTCTTCCCCTTCCACTAAACTTGGTTTGAGTGTAAGAGGCAGCCATCTTGCTACCACCAGGAGACCAGCCTGAGGATGGAGCAGATTCCAGGAGACAGAGTTGAGAAACTCCAGGAAAATGCACCGCAATGACATAGCTGGAGCCCTGGAATGAGCCATGGTTAACATATCTGATTAATTACTTCTGATGTAAACCAGGCGGCACTGGATTTTTTAATTGCCAATGACTAAATGATCCTAACTGGTTACAGATTTGTTTGTTAGTGCTGAAAAAAAAATTCAAAGTGGGCGATTACAAAAAGTTATTACACGACAAATGCCAGAATAGGTGACTACCACTAAGAGGTGGAAATAAGTTATCCAAATTTGAAGTTCAGAGAAACCAAGGCGTGGGAACTCCCCGGCAGTACGGTGGTTAGGACTCCATGCTCTCACTGCCAGAACTCCAGGTTCTATCCCTGGTCAGTGAAATAGGAATCTGTATGTCCCCAGGAACTGCCAAAAGGGAAAAACAACAACAACAACAACTAAAACCCAGAGAAAACAAGGTATTGAAGCCAGCAGTCTCCCTGCCATTTAGGCAGAAACTTGCCCCAGTAGAGGACCTGTGCTGTGAGTGAGCAGGGAGTGTTTGCTTTGGGGAGAAATGTAATGAACCTGATAAGAAGGAGGGAAGGGGCTATATGCACGGACCCTAAAATAATTATTTACAAAGATTAGGGATGTCCAAACTGGTCCCCTTGATATGTCAGAGACTGATGCTTGGCTTTTGTCTGGGGTGTAGGGAGGGGCGAGGTGAGATATGGTGGTGCTGGGAGGAGTGAGGCATTTTCCATGGGCGCAGCAGGCAGACATGGGGTTCTGCAGAGCGGTCCCCAGGGCACAGAAAATACCTGGGCTTGACCCAGCATGCAAGCACTGCTCCAGCTGAGCTGAAATGCCTCTGAAAACCAGCTATGAGAAAAAGATATTGTAGAAGAGATAAAGGACAAACAGAAGTCTTATCACAGGAAGTGAATCAGAGGTAAGGAAAGAAAAAAAGGACCACCCCAAACATAGAGGTAGAAAGAAGAAGGGTGACATTAAAAAATGTGTGAGGAGGGGTGTGAAGAGAACCATCCCTAAAGAACTGAACGACTGCTTTAGGGAGGGATTGCCAAATGAAGGTAGAGAGATAAAAGGCCTTAGATAGTAAATGGAGGAATTTGGGCTCACTTGATACAAGGAGGGGGACCGCTTACACCAGAGAGGGAGCAGATGAAACCTGGATCTGTATGGATTCATTTGGCAAGGGTGCACAAGCCAGTGAGGACAGGAAATGGAGATAAGATGGCCAGTAAGGCAACCGTTACAGCGACCAATGAAAACTGTGGTCTGATTTCTATGGTCCTCCAGAAGACAGGAAGTAGTACCAGGAGGGAGGTGGCTTTTTTTTTTTTTTGGCTACACTGTGTACCTTGTGGGATTTTAGGTCCCTGATCAGGGATTGGACTCAGGCCCTTGGCAGTGAAAGCACAAAGTCCTAACCACTGAACTGCCAGGGAATTTCCAGGAGGGAGATTTAATGGCAGCATCATTATATTTCCAATAACATCCCGAACCTCCCATTGTCTGAGATTTGGAAGTTCAGCATTTTTCACACACACACACACACACATGCAAACATATTAGTATGAGTAGCATACTTATATTAAATATATATATATATATTTGATGTCAGTCATTGTGTATAGAGGGAAATGTATTGTTGTCATTGTTCAGCTCACTCAGTCAAGTCCGATTCTCTGAGACCCCATGGACTGCAGCAGGCCAGGCTTCACTGTCCTTCACCATCTCCCAGAGTTCGCTCAAACTCATGTCCATTGAATTGGTGATGCCATCCAACCATCTCGTCTTCTGTTGTCCCCTTCTCCTCCTGCCTTCAATCTTTACTAGCATCAGGGTCCTTTCCAAAGAGTCAGCTCTTTGCATCAGGTGGCCAAAGTATCAGAACTTCAGTTTCAGCTCAGTCCTTTCAATGAATGTTCAGGGTTAATTTCCTTTAGGAGTGGCTGGTTTGATCTCTTTGCAGTCCAAGGAACTCTCAAGAGTCTTCTCCAACGCCACAGTTCAAAAGCATCAATTCTTCGGTGCTCAGCCTTCTTTATGGTCAATTCTCACATGCACACATAACCACTGGAAAAACCATAGCCTTGACTAGACGGACCTTTGTATATGTGTATGTATTCATACGGGCTTCCCAGGTGGCTAAGTGGTAAAGGATCTGCCTGCCAAGGAGGGGATGTGGGTTCAAGCCCTGGGTCAGGAAGATCCCCTGGAGCAGGAATGGCAACCCACTCCAGTATTCTTGCCTGGAGAATCCCATAGACAGAGGAGCCTGACGGGCTACAGTCCATGGTGTCACAAGAGTCGGATACAACTTAGGAACTAAACAACAAAAATGTATTCATATACTTGAGCCTGAACTTTACAGAGACAAATATATATATATATATATATATATATATATATATATTAGAGAGAAAAAGACACACATATATTGTATAACTACAACCTTTCAGAAAGAAACATTTATCAACACACACACAAACTCACTAATAAAATCTATAATAATTGTACAGTTGAATATCCTTCAAGGTATCTTTTAAAAAATCTGTATGTAAACAGAATTTTTATAATCAAATCACTTTGTACTTGTTTTATTAATTAAAGGGTATCCATTTATAAAGTAAAATTCTACTTTTTAAAAACAAAATCTATTACTCCTTATCTGTTTGGTAAATTGGTATTATTGGGTAGTCAATTTTGTTAAATCAGGCATATATTTTGTTAAAATGGGCACACAGCAATACATGGTATCATTTATTCTGACTCTTGCATATAGGATACTCTGCATCTTAAAGATATAAAAAAAGTAGTTTCATTACTGTTAATTGAGGATGAGTTCTAAACAATAATTTTCTAATACCTAAATTATTTTACCTTCTTCTTCACTTAACGTTGGGAGAAAAACTGTTTTTAGAGAAATCTTTTAAAAATCTTTCCAAATTCTACCTTGAAAGATTATCAATTCGGAGTCCATATTTCGTCTCTGTCTCCTTCCTCCCCACCTTAACTCTGAATTCTTTATCCACCAGCAGGACGAAGGCAATAGCACCACTGTCTGGTTTCATATACAGTAAAAAGGAATCTTTTACTATCAACCACCTGTAAGAAGGAAATACATATTTTTGAAGTTGTACTGAATCACTGAAACAAAGGGAACACGTTATGACAAGTTTGAAGTAAGCACTCTAGCAGACAGTAAGCATAATTTTATCTTTTACACCAGGGATCTAGTTTTTAAAAATATGAAAACATTATGAAGCAGAAAAACAATATAAAAATCTTCCTATTATGTTTCCCTGAGAAGTACTGGTACCAAGCAATTCAAGACGATGCACTGGCCCTTTAGACACTAATGGCAAAGCCTGGAAGGATGTCCCTGATGTGGGTGGGCAGTGCTCATAGGATGCACAGCAGGAACCAAAGCTGTTAGAAAAATGGGATGGGTTAGTGTCTGCTAAAATAAACCGTCATGGAAGAGGCAACTGAGTCTCCGAGTAAGTGAAAATTCCCCTTTAAAAAAATTCAATAAGCATCCAGGACTCTGCATATTGTTCATTTCAAATTATTGGTGGTTTAAGGACCATTAATAAATGATGCTCAGTGGAACATGATCTTTCAAAAGTATATCTGCAATCAATTCAATATATTTTTAAGAGCTTCACGATGGAAAAGTCCAGTGATAAACTGGGAGTTAGAGCAGAGGTAGAAATCGCACAAAGATAAATCAGACATGTTTTCGAAGGAACTTAATAGGCTGGTGGGGCACAATAACAATGCTAGGCTGAATGGGATAGGTATTAAAGGAGGAAAGCAGAGAGAGATGTGTGTAAGGAAGGGGTCCTCAGTTCTAAGAGAAAGAGCTAGTGGCATTTCTCAAAGAAGTGTTGTCTGAGCAAAACCAGGAAGGAGCCCAACAAGCGGAGCCCAAACAGGTAGTCCAGGTGTACATCCCACATGGAGGGAAGAGTTAGCACAGGCACTAAGGCTGGGAATGCTGCCTGACTGGGGACAGTCTGGGGAGGCCAGGGTTTCAGGAAGTGGAGCAGATGAGGTGTAGGGAGTGGGGTAGGGGCCTGGCAAAGGTCACACTGAGGAGTCTGAAGGCCACGTAGGTAATAGCACAGTCACCTGCAATTGTGTAGTGGTCAAATGAATTGGTTGATAATTAAAGAAACAAACAATGGGAATATTATATCACATATTAGGCAACATAAAGCACGTTATGAAATAGGTAGGGCCAGAATACCTGAACATAAATGAACAAATATTGTAAATGTAACACATGAACTCAGAAGTTAAAGGAAACCTATAACAAATCATTACTGAAATTGCTAACCACATTACATTTTAGTGGCTCTCTAATTTGGGATTTAATGTAGACAATCTACATTGATTTCCACATGGTTTCATTTAATTGGTTCTTTAATATATAGGCTGTCTCCTTTCCAATTAAAGGGGGTGGGATGGATTTAGGATAACACAGTAAAGGTCATACTTGTGTTAGGATTAACAAAAGGGAAAACATCAAGGTCAGAGAAAGCAAATATCTAACCACAACACTAATATAATTATGGTAATGACACACCAATGTGGGTTTGAGCTTCCTGGCTTTTCTTTTCTTTTTTTTTTTTTCATTTATTTTTATTAGTTGGAGGCTGGTTTTTCTTAAAAAATGAATAAATTAAGGAAATAAAGAAGTTGCCCAACAAAAAGATAAATTCCAAAGAGTTTCTTGCTTGGAATCTAATATAAAGCAACTGAACAATATTAATGGATAACACTCTCAATAGATTTCAGAAAATGCAGAAATTCATGTTTTATAAGAATTCTCTTAACACAGCTCAATATAACTGCCAAGGCCATGATATCAAAGAGAAACTCAGTCATTCTGATGGGGCTGAGTTATGAGTTACATGTAACTGCTTGTTGATGAAAAGTCGGTCAAGATTTAAAGACAGTAGACAGATCATGTATCTGTTAAAGGTCCTTCTTTAGCTGTGGTCCCTCGTCCCAGCTTGACTTTCTACGTAAGCTAGAGAGCAGACGGCAGGGCACAGGCCCAGAGCAGCAGTGTGCTGTGTTGCTGACCAGGAAGGAGCCACAGGCTTTGAAAACCACAGCTGGTGTGTTTGTCAAACTGAGAAAGAAAAGTCAAACATACCGGACTTGGGAACTTGTCTAGAAGTCAAGGTCACCTGAATGGCATCAGACCCAGCTCTGGCCAGAGCCACACACCAGACACAACAGTGAGGGATGAAGAAATACAACGTGTTTAGTAGTGACTGCTGGATTTTGAAATCTGAAGGCAAAAGATAATGGTTTCTGTTTTGACGATGATGAGTTGTTCTCTGTAACAGTTGTTAGATATAAGGTGAATTGATGCCTGGCCTTTGTTTAAAGCTCTTCTTAACTATGCCATTCATTAAACTTCTTGTTTCTCCTCTTTGTCTCTTTTGTCAATAGACTTTTTTTAACAGGAGGATATGCATCAAGAAAGGAATTCATCAAGCAGTCTTCTGAGAGTCAGGACCTGCTGCTCAGGGATTAAATGTCTGCTTGAAGTCAGCCCCCCTGGGCTCCAGTTTTGGTTCTGTCACTTGTCCTTTTCTGTGAACTGGGGTAACTGAGCCTAAGGTCTAAATCCATAAAACAAGGGTAACAGTAACGTCCAGCTCATAAGTATTTTTGAGGATTCACTGAGATGACGTAAGGATGTTGCTTAGCACAATGCCTGGAGCCAATAAATGTGAGCTTTTATACATTCTCTTGTTCTATACCAGATGAGATTATGGTCTGTTCTAACAAGATATGACCTGTTCTACTACAAACTGTGTCATTAACATGCAGATAGAGCCACCTAAGTCACATGTCACCTTCTCAGCCTCATCTCACACTCTTCCTTCCCACCGTGTTGGTCTCACTGGTCCTGAGACGTGTTAACCTTGTTCTCTGGGCTTCTCCATTTGCTCTTCCTCACTTATTTCTTCCAGATCCTCCCATGAGCAGTCCCTTCCTGTCAATCAATCTTTTGCTTAAATATTTCTCCACGGGAAGGTTTTCCTGGGCTCCCATTCCACCCGCCTCTGCATCCTGTTTAACTTCTTCACAGCACTTATCACTGTCTGGAACTATTTATTTGTCTGCTTGTTTCTTGTCTTTCCCTTATTAGAAAGTGAGATCCTTGAGAACAGGGAATGTGTTTCATGTCCACTGGTATCTCCCCAGGGCCCAGACAAGTTCTTCAGCAAAGCAACACTCTTGCCTGAATAACAGCTGCACAAATGGATCATGGAGAGTAAATAAAATCATTTAGACGTGGTCACTGTCTAAACATTGTAATTCTTGGTATAGTTCATAGTTCAGTAAATGCTAAATTTATTTCTTATAAATTATCTCTTATTTGAGATAAGAAATGTATCATTGAGCCCATCAACAGGATGTGCTGTTTAAGTAGATGTTTTAAATCGAGGGAAGAAATGCTTACTGTGTTCGCCAGCAGAACAGAAGAAATGTTTTTTTTTCTTTTCTTCATACTTGTGCCTGAGACTTGGTTGAAAGTTTGATTGCCTTGTTTGCCTTATGTCAGTTTGTCAATACAGAATATACAAAACGATCAGAATCTTTTTTTTTTTTAAATGGATACCAAAATTTAAAAAAGAGATATGACCAAGTGTTGCCCTTAAAAGTAACTCTCATTTAGACACCAATAGTCTTCTCGTGTGGGAAATTTTCCAAACAAAATTTGTCAGCTACATCTTATCATTTTTGTTTGGTACTGACATTTTATACCCCATAATGTAACTCAGGAAATACTTATTAATATGGAACCAAGGCTTCAAGTTTCATGGAAAGATTTATACAATTTAAAATGAAGAGACATTTTATTCTAGGGAAGATCATATCCTTTTAGATGGTTCTGATTGAAGTCTGATATGCGTGTTCAGTCACTCCAGTTGTGTCCCACTCTTTGCAACACCATGGATTGCAGCCCACCAGGCTCCTCTGTCCATGGGATGCTCCAGGCAAGAAGACTGGAGTGGGTTGTCATGCCCTCCCCCAGGGGACCTTCCTGACCCGGGGACTGAACTCACATCTCCTGTGTCTCCTGCACTGTAGGCAGATTCTTTACCCACGGAGCCACCAGTGGAGACTGAAATCTGATATATCAGACTTTAAAAGGGGGGAGGGATATTTCCTTTCTATAACAAAGCCTCCCGCTTCTATCTTTTCGGGCTGCCCCTTCTCACAGAGGTTACAACTCAAAGGTCAGTTCCTTGACTTCTGTAGCGAAAGCCTCCGTCTGAAGTCCTCACGTCCCTGACTGTCCCATCACCTTCCTTTTCTTTCAAAGCTCTGATCAGCACTTGCACTACTGTCATTCACCCTGCTTGTCAGCTTCTCCACTGTCTCTGATCTCCTCCAATAGGTGCTCTGTGAGGGCAGGGACATGGCCTTGTTCATCACGGCTCTCACAGTGGCTAGAACACAGCCTGGCAAACATTAGGCACTCAATGAATGACAAAATGGACCGGATCCAGGCTTCCATTTCTTGAGTCGATGTCTTAGGTTGGGTTGCTCTAGAAGTCCACTCTGAGACAAGGATGGAAGTGAGAGAGCTTCGTAGGGAGCTTAGTAGGAAGCAGAGGAAGGGAAGGGCAGGAAGGAAGAGCGGGAAGGGAGCCATCGAGGATGTGTTTTCATGCACTGGATTGTGGGCAGCTGTGCGGCACATCTTCCAGGGAACCCCGGGGGACAGTGCGGAGTTTGCTGGAGAATCACCCTGCCTGAGGGGTGAGGGGGCTGGACTCGCGCCAGCTCTTGGCTGAAGGTTGTTCCTAGGGGCTGCGAATGCCTCCAGCCTACTCTGCGCAGGCAGCCCAGAGCAAGCCTCCAGTCAGACTCACCAGTGCTTGCAGCCCCAAATCCATACTTAACACTTAGGCAAGGCTGATGCCCAGGGAGTAGGCAAGAGGAATCTGGGCCACGGCCCCACTGGCTTGGAGGCCTTGCCTCCCCGAGAGGCATGGTGTGGCGCAGGGAGCAAGGGCAGGAAGTGAAAGTGCTGATTGCTCAGTCCTGTCCAACTCTTGGTGACCCCGTGGACTGGAGCCTGTCAGGCTCCTCTGTGGAATTCTCCAGGCAAGAATACTGGAGTGGGCTGCCATTTCCTTTTCCAGGGGGTCTTCCTGACCCAGGGATAGAACCCAGGTCTTCTGAAATTGCAGGCAGATTCCTTACCAGGGAAGTTCATAGGGGCAGGAGCAGGCTGGCTTATGCTCTGCTCCTCTCCTGGGTTCTGTACCACTGTAAGTAGGAGGGTGGGAAGCTACTTCAAGTGGGAGTCTCCGAATTTCCTGTGATGTCACTTATACCCCAAGTTTCTGGGGACATTTAAATAAACTACAGACGTTTATTTGAAAACAAATATTGTCTAGTCTACTAGTACCCTGTTGATTGTAGTTAAAAAATCTTTTGTTTTTTGTAATACAGAAATTCTCAGCTTCCTCTGGCTTAATCTCTTGATCTTTCCCTTGTAATTTCTTCTATTCTTTAAAAACCCAGAAAATAAGAAACCAATCTAATGGTATTTTTGGCTGGCAGTGTATCTGAAATACACGTTTAAAGATTCTAGTTTTAAGCTTATATATCTTCAACTCACACATAATTTAATTTCATCTTTACATGAGTTCATATTTTTTTTCAAGGTTAGAAAAATAACAAATATCTCTTAATAGTTTTTAAAATTCCAGTAAATTATTATTGAAACAAATAGCTGTTGTCTATTATGTTAAAACATTGTCACAGATGCTTTGAGGAATAAATAAGAATGAGATAAGAATATTCCTCTATAAAGAGTCTTTAGTTGAACAGGACATAGGACATGAATTAAAGTTTTCTGTCTATATCACACTTACCATAATATACATCCTCACAAATATAACTCTAAAATTACTCCTGAACACTACCTTTTTTTGGTTTATTTTTTATGTATAGTTTAGTGGGTCTTAGTGAATTTTAGTTTACTATATTTGTAAATTTGCATGTTGTCACCATTAATGTCTAATTCCAGAATATTTTCATCACCCAAAAAGAATTCCACATCCAAATGCAAACTAGTACAGCCACTCTGGAGAATAGTGTGGAGATTCCTTAAAAAACTGGAAATAGAGCTGACATACGACCCAGCAATCCCACTGCTGGGCATACACACTGAGGAAACCAGATTTGAAAGAGACACATGGACCCCAATGTTCATCGCAGCACTGTTTATAATAGCCAGGACATGGAAGCAACCTAGATGCCCATCAGCGGACGAATGGATAAGGAAGCTGTGGTACATACACACAATGGAATATTACTCAGCTATTAAAAAGAATGCATTTGAATCAGTTCTAATGAGGTGGATGACACTGGAGCCTATTATACAGAGTGAAGTAAGACAGAAAGAAAAACACCAATACAGTATACTAACGCATATATATGGAATTTAGAAAGATGGTAACAATGACCCTATATGTGAGACAGCAAAAGAGACATAAAGAACAGACTTTCGGACTCTGTGGGAGAAGGCGAGGGTGGGGTGATTTGAGAGAATAGCATTGAAACATGTATATTATCATATGTGAAACAGATTGTGAGTCCAGGTTCGATGCATGAGGCGGGGTGCTCAGGGCTGGTGCACTGGGATGACCCTGAGGGATGGGATGGGGAGGGAGGTGGGAAGGGGGGTCAGGATGGGGACACATGTACACCCATGGCTGATTCATGTCAATATAAGGCAAAAACCACCACAATATTGTAAAGTAATTAGCTTCCAATTAAAACAAATAAATTATTTTTTTTTAAAAGAATTCCACACCCAGTAGTAGTAACTCCCCATTCCCCTTGTGCTACAGCCCTTGGAAACAATGAATATACTCTGTCTCTACAGATTTACTTATTCTAAACCTTTCATGTGAATGGAATCATATAATATGTGACCTTCTGTATTTGTTTCTTTTTCACTTAGTGTAATGTTTCCAAGGTTAATTCATACTACAACATTTATCAGTCTTTCATTTCTATTTTTCATTAAAATTAAAAAATATTCAAATATAATTCAAAAACCATAAAATTCACCCCTTGAAAATGTACAATTTAGTGGTTTTAATATATTCAAAAATTTGTGCAACCATCATGGCCATCTAATTCCAGATATTTTTCAGAAATAAATCCCACACCCATTAGTATTCTTCATTCCTTTTTATGGACAAATAATATTCCATCATAGGGCTGTACCATATTTTGGTTAACCACTCATCAGGGGATGGACATTTGGACTTTTTACACTTTTTGGCTACTCTGAATAATGCTGCTATGAACATTCATGAATAAGTTTTAATGGAGATATATTTTTTCAGTTCTGTTTGGAAATATCTGGGGTATGTGGTAACTGTATGTTTAACATTTTGAGGAACTGCCACTCTGTTTTCCAAACTGGCTGGTATCATTTTACATGATGCACCAGTAATGCATGAGGGTTCTAATTTCTCTATAGCCTTGTCAACACTTGCTATTGTCCAATTTGCTCATCACAGCCATCCTGGTGGCTGTGAAGTTGTAGATCACTGTGGTTTTGATTTATCTTCCCCTAGTGACTAGTGATGTTAAGCATGACTTGTGCTAATTGGCCACTGTCTATTTTCTCTGGCTGACCAATTTTTGAATCATATGGCCCATTGGGTTTTTATGTATGTAACTGGCATACTCTGCTTACACGTGCAATTTTGAGTAGAGTGTTTAAATAGAGCTGAAATCTGGAACTTAAAAATAATGTAAAATTTGCTCTGCCATGACTTTCAAAGATTTACAATTGAAAACTAGAATATAAAAACTCCCTAAATACTCAGTTTATTAAGACAAACACACAAAACTCTCAAGTCTCACCTCTTTGCCCACCGATAGCAGGCTCTCCCCTGGCCACAGCAATTCAGGCCTGGTATTCTGTGTCCTCCGGATCTTTTCATTATCATACCTTCTCTGAAAGAGACATCAAGTTAACTCATCATCTTTAAACTTCCAGCGCACACTTAGCTGATATAGCCTCATAACTGGGAACTAAATAAACTCTTCTGTTCTCCCATGCCCTTCCTCTCTACTTTTTCTGCTTTCACTGTCAAATAGATCAATGCTATGCTTACTAGGCTGAGAACTCCTGCAGCCAATCTTTAAAAGCACCCTGGTGGAGGTAGGCCTGTTGGCACAGGGGACAGCATACTGCACACACAGCAGGACCTTGAGCATCCCAGCTTCTGGCTCTAAATGCTGAGCATTCCCTCCAGCCACCATCATAGCCTGAAAAAGACCCCATATGTTGCCAAATGCTGGCACGGGGAAGGTTCATCTGCTATGGAGATCATTGACAATGCTCACCCACAGATTCCAGGGTATTTCTGCATCCCTTCACCTACAGTTCTAGGACCAATCCATGTCAAAGAAGTAAAGCAAAGCTATTACTTTGGAAGGAGAAATATCCTAACTCTGAAAGATGTGAAAAGAAAAAAACAATAATAATGGCCAACCAATAAACAAAAATTAAAAGAACTACCAACAATGTTCTTGACTAGAAAAGTTAAACTCTTTGTAATATCAAGCTCTCATTTCATGAAGGATGTGATCAGTCGCTCAGTTGTGGCCAACTCTTTGCAGCCCCATGGACTGTGGCCCATCAGAAGATAATCATTAAGTAAATTTCAATCTTGTTATGTAACATACATTTTATACAGTATTACTTTTAGTCAATAAAATAAATGATAAATAGCTAATTTTTATGTGATAAAAAGAAGGGATCTTGTATATTTGATTTTTAATGCATTCTTGCACACATCATATTTCTTCTCTTTGTTAAACACCCACTACTGTGGGGTAAGAGGAGAAGGAGTGCGGAGCAGTAGGCACCCTTGTTTAATGTAGCAAAATACTCTGTTTTGTATAAATAGGTCCCTCAGTTGCTCTGACTCTGTTGGGAAGAAAACAGTGAAGCCATGGGAGCTCCATCACCTTGGTATACCAATAAACCAAAGGCTACAATGCTCATCAACTTATCATACTTCTCCTTAGAGATCCAATACTGAAACTTACATGCCCTTTGGTCCCAAATCATGGATGAAAGACAGCTGGCTTATATCAAGAAATTCTGTCTGAAAAGAGGCCAAAAATCCAGACGTTAGAAAGCAAAAAAAGAAGAGGAAAAATTTAGGCATTTAAAAAATATTATATACCTCCATGTATAAGCACATCTGGGGTACTCTACAGATTACACAGATCACAATGGCACTGCCCTGAAAAAGTATTTTTTAGAAGGATATACACAATTAAAACACAACCAAGATAGTGATGTGTGCTCTAAGATATAGAGACAAAATGCTCAAGAAGGTCACGGTGAGACCTGTCAACAATAGTAGACCATGTCAATAAGAGCCTTAATAGAAAATCAAAGACAAAAAGACACACTCCGGGCATTAGGAGGCAGAGGAGAGACCAGACACAGAAAACAGTCCACATCAATCAAGTTCTGTGGGAAGAACCGTAACAGTTACACGTAAAAGCAGTTATTAATAGAGGTGCAGAGAGAGGATGACTGCTTCCTAGCTAATGGGACATCACAGAGGAAATGGCGTTTGATCTGGGCTTATAAATGGGATTAATAAAATGAACTATAACAATCTTCCTTTGAAGTTTTGTTTATGTGATTGTGACTGCCTCATATTAACCTTGTAAGAAAAAGTTACACATCTCTCAAAGCTGTCAGTCCTGTGAGGTCCAATTGATTTTCTTTCTTAGGGTGATTGGAAGAAGCCTTTAAAATTCAAAAGGATTTAAATATCTTTAAAAACCTCAGATCAAACATATTCTCACATAGCACTTTTTATAAGGATTTTGAAAGTCAAGGTCTTTATATTTTATTTCTTATATCAAACATGGTGATTCAGTACCATACATTTTAAAATTCTGATTTGTGGAAATGCATTCTAATTGGAAAATATAGAAATACATAGGTTATTAGAAATGATATTGCAGACTTTAAGCTGTAGAATTTGAAATGTCTTGAAATCCTCAGCCAGAATTTCTCATTTTATCTCTAGGGAGCAGAGAGAAAAATACTAATCCTAGTTTATACTGGAAGAAACTTCTCTAAAGGTGTAACTAATTTATGCAAAGTCAGAGACTAGCTGAATGGAAGAATAGGAAACGAAAAGCAAAAATCAGGGAAACCATTCATCTAACACTTGGATATTTTCTTATGCATATATACCTACTATCAAATCATTGACAACAGGAATATTATTTAAATAATTTAGAAACCATAACTTCAGAATATCATACAAAAGTTGCTAAATGTAGAGAATTTCATCTAAATAAAAAAACACACATTAGCAGTGCGGAAAATTTAAAGCTGTGTATTAAGAAAAAATTCGAATTTATCCTAATGTTTTACTAAAGAGAAATTTGAATAAAGAACTAGAATTATTATATAGAATTAAAGTCCTTGGCAATAAATTTTCTAATATAGATTTATGGGATTGAAAACAAATGTAACCAAGTCAATTTAGAAACAAACCTAAATAGTACAATTTGAAATTTAACAAACATTGTATTGTCCAAATATCTCAATGCATCTTCAGTGATAAAAATCCCATTTGCGACTTGAGCAGGCGAATCTCAGGAATAAGAATTTAATGATTAATTTAATCTGACAATATTCCATTGGGTTATTGATCTCTAAATAAGGTACTGATCAATATCCTTTGTCTTTCCAAAGGAACTTGTTAAATTTAAATGCTAGGAAATTAGGGGACCAAAGGGTTCCCATGCCAAAGGACAAGCAACAAACCCAGAAGGTGATAATATCTCAAAATTTCTGGGGCTTGTCTTATGCTTGTAAAAATATTAATTAATTATAGATGATTATATGAAAATGATTTTAATATTTCTATCTGCTTTTTGCAGACAGAAATTTGAATATGTCTCACAATTATCAAAAGGGACACATGGATGCCAATCTAATTTCACAAGTATCAGGCAGAGCCCTGCAAGCTAGTCTCTGAGTCAGATTATCATTAGTGTGAGAGGAAAATAACGTTCAGACAGATAAAATTGTATCCTACGCTTGAAGCCTTTTGGAGAATACCGCTACTGGGGAGAATACTCTAAGTAGCCATTAAAATGAGGGCGTTCCCTGGCAGTCCAGTGTTTGGGACTTGGTGCTTTCACTGTTGGGGCTCCGGATTCAATCCCTCGTAGGGGAACTAAGGTCCTGCAAACCAGGAGGCATGGCCAAAAAATAAAACTGAATAAATTTGTGTTACTTCTCATTTTTTTAAAATCAGTTGTAACTAGGTTTCCCTTTCCAAAGGAAACGTTTAGAAGACACTCTGGAGTATCTAAATACAACATGGCTCAGTTTTTAAAAGATTTTTATGATTAGAAAGGAAGTTAATGTGAACATTTGAATAAAAGTAAACGTTTTAAAGTCAACATTAGACTCCCATTTTTAGTAATAATAGAAGTAACATCCTTATTCATGATGTTCTTTCAAAGAAGCACATTCCTGAGTTCTAGAAGGGAAGAAGTATTTCCCATCAGCCTTCTCTTGAAAGTCTCTGGTTGAACCCAAATTGCTGGCTTCCCTGGGAGAACTCTTCTTCCGGATTATGAAACCACAGAAGCTCCTTTAAGACCATCACATGTCACAGTGAAAGCTGCTGCAGAAGGTTTTCCAGTGCCATGTCATTTGTGTGTAAAGGGGACCAGCTGGGTGCAGGGCCTGCCCGTCTCCAAATAACAGAGAGGCAGGCATCTACAGGGCAGCAAGAAAACTCCGGATAGTCAAGGTACTCTTGCTTCCTTCCTAAATACAGAGGGCTTCGCTCTTTCTATTCACCTGTTCATGCCGTTCTCTAAACCAGAGGCCGGATCATAACCGCACCTACTCTGAAATTCTGCATATACACCATATACACATGGTCACGCTCCACAGCAGTATAGTTTATACAAGCACAGGTGCAAACTCTAACAATCCAGTGTCCTCTCAATGATCTGAACCTTTGGATAACTGAAGCTAACCCTTTAAATATTTAACCCCACCTTCAAGGGCCTCTAAAGGCAGAGCTCATTGTTTTCTGATGCCTTCTGTAAAGCCCACTTCCTCCTGCTTGCCACTTAAGTGCCTCCCAAATGTAGGCCCTGCGGCAGTTTCTAAGCCCCACCACCTCTCCTCTCTTTTCTCAGAATTCTCAAGAGTTTTTCCTCTCCTTAGTGTTTCCCATGCTTCTCACTTTCACATGAGAAGACAGGACTGTTACAGGCATCACAGGCCCGTCAGATGGTAATTACAGTATGCTCCGTACAATCTTTGGGTATTCAACTCTGTTCAACTGTCTTCATCACTTAGTACTCAATGTTTTTTTCCTTCAGTGTTAGAAATGCATTTTGGCATTTTCTCCTCTGAAAGCCTGAGGAGTGAAGGAGGTTGATTTCTAGATAATCTAGTAGCATTTCTAGATAATCTTTAGGAGTATTTCAAGTTCATCTAAATTTATTGTTATATTAATTATCATAGTTGATATTTTAAAAATAGCATTACCCTAAACTGGATCCTCACTGTCAAATCAATTTTGTTTTCCTATTTTTTAATTTTATTTTTTTACCGAAGGATAGTTGATTTACAATGTCGTGCCAATCTCTGCCGTACAGTAAAGTGATTCAGTGGTGCACATATAGACATTCTTTTTTAAAATACTCTTTTCCATATGGTTTATCATAGGAGACTGACTATAGGTCCCTGTGGTGTACAATCAATTTTGTATTGATTTTGTATTGTAAATTGTAAATTGATTTTGTGGTGTAAAATCAATTTTGTATTCATTTTATTTAGCTTAGTTTAACTCAAAGAATAACGCAGAAGTGGATACAAGCACTTGTGTTAATAAAATGATCTAAAATGTAGCCAACACTTTACAATTTTATAAAATTACTTCAGAATTTAAATCACTGCAAAGTACTTACTGTCGCATGATAGTTTCTATACATGGGCATTTTTAGTAACTTCGTCAAGTAATCTTCCAGCTGTTTCTGTAATACATATACATTTCAGATTAAAGATCCTATCATACTTAAAGGAAAATATAAGCAGTTAATGACAATGCCATGATCCTTCCATCCTCTGTAAGTCATTCAATTATTCATTAATATTATCACTGGACAAGGAACATTGAACACGTCTCTTTCAAAACATAAAAGTTCCAGATTACCAAAACAACTGACATTTTACAAAAGTAATTTTTATTTATTTTATTTTTGGCTGTGCTGGGTCTTTGCTGCTGCCTGGGGTTTTCTCTAGCTGGGGCAAGCGGGGGCTGTTTTCTAGTTCGGTGCACAGGCTTCTCATCACAGTGGCTCCTCTTGTTGCGGAGCACAGACTCTGGGGCACTTGGGCTTCAGCAGCTGCGGCTCCCAAGCTCTAGACCACAGGCTCGGTAGTTGTGGCACACAGGCTTAGTTCCTCTGAGGCATGTGGGATCTTCCCAGATCAGGGATTGAACCCATATTTCCTGCATTCTCAGGAATATTCTTTACCACTGAGCCACCAGGGAAGCCCCCAACACTGACATTTAATTGTTAATTAAATTAAAAAATGAATCAATCTTCTGCCCTAGGCAGCATCATATCACTGCAGCCGAGTGGGCAGACGTGTCCCCTGTCCTGGGGCGTCTGTCCTGCTGTATGCGTCTGTACTCTGTCCTACTCTTCTCAGACCCTCACTGCTCCATCTATGGTCTGGGAATGAGATTTTACATATATTTAGGATAAACCACTATAGATTCTGAAGCAAATATATGGAAATAGATGATTTTAAAAGAGTAGATCTCAAAGCCCTCAACTATGAGCTCAATCTTGACTCACAATGAACCCCAGTGAACAGGAAGTACAGCTTCCTCATAAAATCACTCCTGACAGACAGCCCTCTTCCTCCTTGGGGGAGTGCAACCTCCCCAGGGCCAGAGTGCCTTGGGGAAGAAGCCTTCCCTAACTAGTTCCCGAGAGGTAAGCCAACCTAGGTGATGGATCGATGGGTAAGAGAAGTTGCACCTCAACCTTCAGTCAATGCCATCTTTCTACAGTGCTGCAGAAGTTTGTTCCGAACAACAGAAGAGTGAAAGGACTTACCCTTCTACTAAAGAACTGTTCTTCTTGCCGGATCATGTTTTCAGATGTGCGGGGCAAAGCTGGCATCTCTCGGGGCTCTTCTTTGACATTCTGTCTTCTAAATGTGTGCCTAAAATGCACACACACACACACACACACACACACACACACACACACAATGTAAACATTTATTATTCTTTGAACCGTGACTCTCACAGTATTTTTCATGAGATGGTTTATTTTTAGAAGAGTCTATTTAATAAAAAGAAATATCTAGCAACAATTGACTAGTTAACCAATAACATGAACCAAAATATTCTTTCTATACAACCCATATACTGGGATAATTTTATAATCAATTCTAGGTTACCTTCTGGTGGGAATGGGGATTCGGATAAAGGCTTTGTACTTGAGCAGTTCTCTGTGAAATTCTTGAAAGTGCTTGAACTTCCTCTTCACTTGCCATTTAAATTCCCCATGTGTTAATTCAATAGTGTAAAGATTGACGCTTGGTACCTATAGTGGTAAATAAAAATGGTTGATATTTTAGATAACAACAACATCTCTCTGTGTACAATAGTTAATTAAAAAGTAACATGGAAGTACCTTGAAATCCAGCTTACTTATTTTGTGTAAGGAAGGAAGCAAAATGTTTTTTAAAAAATGACTGATTACAGAAGTAATATTCTCTTAAATATTCATCTTATGATATATGCAAGACAAACTCTGACTTATATCAGAGGCAAACCTCCACAAATCTTATTGTTCTAAATACAAAGACACAGACATATCTCTGAAACAAGGAGCCAGGTAAAAGAGACAATGAGTGACAGCCCTAATTAGCCATCATGCGACTGTCCAGCAGTGAATGCAGGGGGTGGAGGGAAGCTGAAGGAAGTGAGTTCCATTGTGGAGCACAGTCTTAGTGCAGTTTTGCTCTCCACAAATGACACTAACGCCCTCTCCTTCTGAAATGCCTTCAGAGGTCCATCCTGGTCTACAATAGCTCTCTGTCCTTTAGCTACACCAGTGACTAGGAAGGTACAGGATGATTAGAAGGAAAAGGGCAAATGATCTTCCTACACACAAAATATTTCCCCAACCACTTAACTAGGATGAATTTCCACTTAACATTTAAAAAATATTTCTTCTTAAAATGCAAATATATCTTGGTGACTAGTGATTCAATCAGAAGCGCTAACAGACCTGAGGGATAAAAGTTTTGATAAAGCAAGAAGTGTCAGAAGATGGAGAGAAATTTATAGAGCACAGGAGATCTTGAATGTTCCCATGGTGTGTGGGGGGTGGGGGAGGGTAATTGACACTGGACCACCTAGAGGACACTGGCCCCTGCTGGGAGATCCAGGCCCCATACATGTTGACAGGTATTGGGGCAAGAAACAGTAAATGTCTCCTCCTTTGCTAGTTTATCCAGGCTTTGGTATCAGTAACCCCATGGGTGACCAGGCCTGCTGCCATTCATCATCGATGTTTGGTATATTCTGCAAATTTCTAAAGCATGACCACTCTGTATAACTGTAGTATAAAAAAATGAGCCTGAAGAGACTTCCCTGGCGGTCCAGTGGTTAAGACTCTGTGCTTCTAATGCATGGGGCGCAAATTTGATTCCTGGCTAGGGAACTAAGATCCCACTGCCCTACTGTGTAGCCAAAAAGTAAATTAATTTTTAAAAAATGAGCCCAGAATCAATGCAACTTGTGCTCTTAAGTCTAGAATCCAAACATATCACTGGCAAACACTCAAATCTATTTCCTGCTTTGCCTCCAGTTGGGATCCATGACAACGACTATAGCCAGAAGTCAAAAGGACCCAGTTCTGGGGTCTAATATTATATGCTGCCTTTCACCTTGACCAACATTACAGGCATCACGCTGCATCGTGTTTCACAAAGAAGGATGCAGGAGAATTCAGAGTGACCAGAAACTCTGCATTTGAGTGCAAAATGCTAAATTTAAGACAAGTCAAATAAATGAGAACAATTATACAATTTATGCAAGCTGCCACATACTCTAGGATTATATTTCCCAATCTAAGAAAACTGAATACTAAAAAACATTACAAATGTCAAGTTCTATCCCTCACACATAAACCGAGAATTTTGGACAATTCTTAGCAATTCTAAGACAGTGTGGGGCAATGGCAACAGCCTGTCCCATCCTTTTTGAAGCATCTAAAGGTCTGAAATTGCCTGGTGCAGCCTACTAGCTATGAAGCCTAACCAAGCATCACTTTGGTCAGATACTATCTCAGCAGAATTATTGGAATACTTTGGAATTGGAATAGTGTGAGAAGTTGTAATAAAGGGACTGACTGCCCATGAAGGTGTGATAAGAGGAAGGAAATCACAATGTGAGGACAGTAACCTGGGACTCAGGAAGGCACACCTCATTTTGAAGGGGCAAGGGTAGGACCAGGCGCTGGAGCAGGAAGGAGAGGACCACTTTAAGAGGCTGCCTTGAGGGGGAGCGTGCCTTGGTCAAGGGATGCATCCAGCCCAGAGTGAACCGAGTCTAGGCTCTCCATGGCCAGAGCCCTGCCAGAGGACAAGGGCAAGGGAGTCTGGAGAGGCAGAGCAAAGGGAGGGAGGAGGAACTGGAGGGACACGTGGGAGGCCTCCTGCCGGGGAGGGTGGGTAGTAGCATCTGTCCTTAGGGGGTTCATGAGAGTGAACAGAGAAGTGCATACCATGAGCTGGCACACAGAACAGATTCAGTCATAGAAAGGCGTCATTTTTATTTACCTGGAATGACATTCAAACTACATGGAGTCAGTCCATACTTCTTAGTAAACTAAACACTAAGTATGACAAGGAGGATCCTTAGCTTTTCCTACACAGACTAAGATTTAAAACAGAATGTGAAATTAATTAACTCTTGAGAGTCTCTGGGACTTCAAGGAGATCGAACCAGTCAATCCTAAAGGAAATCAGTTCTGCATATTCATTGGAAGGACTGGTGCTGAAGCTGAAACTCCAATACTTTGGCCACCTATGCAAAGAACTGACTCATTGGAAAAGACCCTGATGCTGGGAAAGGTTGAAGGCAGGAGGAGAGGGGACGACAGAGGATGAGATGGTTAGATGGCATCACCAATACAATGGACATGAGTTTGAGCAAGTTTTGGGAGTTGGTAAAGGACAGTGAAGCCTAGCATGCTGCAGCCCATGGGGTCACAAAGAGTTGGACACAACTGAGTGACTGAACTGAAGTGTGAAATTAATATAATATTGGAAATCAACTATACTTTGAAAATTAGGATCCAAAATAAAAATTTTAATATATATAAAAAAGGAATAGAACTAAACTTATTTTACTAACAGAAAAGTATGAGCAAAGAGAAGTCCTGGTTTGGTGGCTTGAATATTTATCTTTATGAATAATGTGAGGAGACATGTAGCAATAATAATACACAGAATTATATAGTATATACTTGTATAATATATTATATTCTGGTATTATACAATACCATGTATTATTATTATTATTATTAAATAGCCATTCCCTTCTCCAAAGGATCGTCCCAACCCAGGGATTGAACACAAGTCTCCTGCATTGCAGGTCAATTCTTTACCATCTGAGTCACCAGGGAAGTCCATATTATACAATACCATTTATTATTATTATTAAATCCTCATAACAAACCTTTAAGATATGTACTATTATACCCATTATTCAGACAAGGAAACTCAAACACAAAGATGTTAAGTAACTGGCTGGAGATCACAATACAAAGACAGGAATTAAACCACATAGTTTGGCTCTGTAATCTGTGCATTTAACCTCCACATGTTATCACCTCTCAATGTAAATGCTGGTAGGTGATACAAGGCAAAGGTCATCTAAGAGACATTTCTTGGTAGGTTGTGTTCAGTGGTTATCAGGGAGATAAGGACCCAACTCAAAGGACGATGCTGAAGGAAAGCTGGACACCGAGGTGGCTGTAAACTAGAGGTTAGGATACGCACAAGAGTAGGTCAGGAGAGAAAGTGAAAGTGAAGTCATTCAGTTGTGTCTGCCTCTTTCTGACCCCATGGACTGTTGCCTGCCAGACTCCTCCATCCATGGGATCATCCAGGCAAGAATACTGGAGTGAGTTGCCATTTCCTTCTCCAGAGGATCTTCCCAACCCGGGGCTCAAACCCGTGTCTCCCACATTGCAAGGAGACTCTTTACCATCTGAGCTACCAGGAAAAGCTCAGGTCAGAGCAACAGGCAAAACCACCAAGACTCAGGCAGCATAGGCCACCCTCTAGAGTCTGCCCCAGGCAGAAAGGTTATTCCCCACTTCCCCAGAGACAGAAATCAATGACAGCCTTATTCTGCCAGTCAGAGCTTAACTGGAAGGGACAAAGGCCACCAGCCTGCATCAATGTTCTCTATGCTTGACTTAACAAGTGAGCAACCCAGTCAGGAATAGAGCAAACACAACCACCCTAACAGTCTCCTAGTGCAGTCCTCTTTAAGAGGTTCAGGTTTCCTTGTTGAAAACATTCTCCTCCCAATGCCTTTCCAGAGCTTAAAGAGAAAGCATATGAATGAAGCTTAAGGGGTGGTGTAAGGAACAAGCCAGAGTGGCAGAGTACGCGTGGAGAAAGGCACCGACCGAGCAGCCTCCAGGTGTTTTCCTTTTGAGAGTCAGGTAGCATTATTATTTTCTTACTGAACAAGTATTAAGAAAGCTAAACTTCTCCTTGGTTTATAACTGGCATTCTAGGCAGAATAGCAATGCCCCCCAAGTCCACACTGAACAGCAAACTGGGGAGACAGGAAGAGTAGGAGAGGCACTTTGCGATGCATTATACTTATAAACTGTCTTAATTGCCTTAAAAAAAAATTTTTTTTTTCCAGAATGGGGGAAGAGGCATATAAGAATAAAGGCTAAATGAGAAGGATGCAAAAATCTGGGGTGATGAGGACTCAGAAGTGATAAACATAAACACAAATTGAAAGTTAAAGACATAGCCAGGAGGAAGGAAAATGAAAGCCAGTGTGTTAAGTCATAAATATCGATGAATACAAGTCGAGTCCATATACGCTCTGACCCTTTTTGTAGATGTGAAGCGCTCCACTTCCAGAACTTGAACTTTTATTGGGCAGCCGGAGAGATACGTCTGTACATTAGGCTCCTTAAATCCTTGAGTCTTATAAACCACAGAGAAAGGGATATACACTAAAAAATAAAAGAAGTAAATAAAATTGTCATAAGAATGCAGTGTTACTAGCATCACTTGCCTGTTACAGGCATCTTTTTTAAGAATCATAACGGGCTACAACAAGAAAACAGCTAGTGAAATTCAGCCCAGTGTTGTGACATCAGCAAGGATGATCAATCACTCGCTGGTTATTTCAAATCTGTGTTCTGCCAAACAACCATGATAAACTTTCTCCTCCTCACTCAGATCATCAGTCTTTACCTTCCTGTATCCTGGGATCGCTGGGAGACAGATCGTAGTCCACCTCCTCTCCCTCAAAGTGGAGCTCTCTCGTGTCCAGATTTTCTATCAAATTACTCATGTCAGCAGCGATTTTCTGCAGTGCAGAGGTATTTACTCTTGGCTCATTTTTCAGCGACATGTTGGCTTGAGACAGGGTAAAAGCAAAGGAGCTGGGAAAGAAGAAAAGAGTTACCAGACTTACTATTTTGGTCAAATTTTAAAAGAGAATAAAATAATGCTGTTTGCAGTGACATGGATGGACCGAGAGATTGTCATACTGAGTGAAGTAAGTCAGACAGAAAAAGGCAAATATCATATGACATTGCTTATATGTGGAATCTAAAAAAAATGGCACAAATGAACTTATTTACAAAACAAAAATACAGTCACAGATACAGAAAAACTTATTGTTACCAAGGGAGAAAGGGGGCGGGGAGGGATAAATCGGGAGATTGGGATTGACATACACACCCTATGATACATAAAATAGATAATTAATAACGACCTACTGTATAGCACAGGGAACTCTACTCAATACTATAATGACCTATATGGGAACTGAACCTGAAAAAGAGTGGATATAGGTACATGTATAACTGATTCACTTTGCTACACAGTAAAAACTAATATATCATTGTAAATCAACTATACTCCAATAGAAATTTATTTCAAACAAACAAAAAAACCCTAAACCCTGTTTTATTATTTGAATCCAGGCTTACATATAGCATATGGAAACAAATCAACTAGCTCTATGTGAGCCCCAATTACCTCAAACAACCTTTAAATTTATTTTCCAGTTTAACATTTAAAGGATTCCTAGCTTGCCATTTAAGTTGGAGTGAGATACTTAACTGTTTACCAAGTAAGAAAACAAGCAAGAAAAAGAAACACCACATTGAATAAGTGCCAATATTATCTTTCATTTGGGAATCGTTTCTTCAGTGAAAAGGAATTGATTCTTGACTCTAACAAAAACATGAAAAAATAATATCATCAAAATAAGTAACTTTAAATATTTTCCACAGAAAATTTAGGGTATTTTACAATAATTTCAATATACAGATTTAAAAAGTATTTTTATGCAGCATAACCTTTCTATCAATACATTTCCCCTATAGGTGATAGAGGGCTTCTACAGGGGCCCAGACAGTAAAGAATTTGCCTGCAATGCAGGAGACCCAGGTTTGATTCCTGGGTCAGGAAGATCCCCTGGAGAAGGAAATGGCAACCCACTCCACTATTCTTGCCTGGAGAATTCCATAGACAGAGAAGCCTCGAGGTCTACAGTCCATGGGTTCGCAAAGAGCCATCCCAAGCAGAGTGTATACTATTTTTTTGAGATATGAGGTTTGGCCATGACTTTACCTGAGTTACAGTGATGTGCATGTCCTGGAAGGTAACCGATTAGTGTACCTTTTCTGAAAGATACCAGAAATGCAAGAATTATACTTCTCTCTTTTTAAGAAAACTGGTTCTATTTCATTCTGACATTTAATAACACAGGTCATTGCACATCAGTACCCAGGGAAGAAGAGTTCATAGAGATTTTATTTTTCATTTAAAATACTGAGATTTCAGCCGTAAGTGCTGTCGTTGGAGTTGGGTGAAAAATCCATATTGGTTGCAATAATCTCTCCAGACCAGACTAAAAAATAGGAGGGCTTCCATACCAGTAACTCCTCCATCTATGTGCATTTATTACTGCAAATCACAAACATTTACTGAGTATCCACCACTTACTCATTGTGACATGGAGTGAATATGTAAAGATGAATAAGACTGGTCACCGCCTACTCACTGTGAAATGGAGTGAGTGAATATGTAAAGATGAACAAGGCTGGTTCCTGGGAGGAAGGAGTTTCTAAGGCAGACGAGAGAAATAAGTTACATGGCCTCAAATCCATCCCTGGCCTCCCCCACAGTCTTGGTCTTCCTGAGAATGGCATGTGCTAAGTGGAAGACACTTAGGTGGATTCTCTTCTTCAGGTGCTATTAAGAAGTGTGGGGTGGGGAGCAGGGGAAGGTTTTGTGAGAAGAGTCTTGGGCAGACTCAAGGAGCCCTTATTGTTACTCAGCAAGTCTCTAAAGCCTATACTGATATGTTTGGTAGAAAGAGAAATTATATAGAAATACAAAGAAAGGAGAGGGGAGGGAGGTTCTGATTTGGCCAGATTAACAGACTCAATACGTCTAAGTTCTCCGTGAACCATGTAATCAATCATGTTTGCTCCTCTGTGTTGGCTGTAAGAAGCCTGGAGCCAACTAGTGGCCCATTGCTAGCAAAATCCAGGACTATCTTTGCCTCTATCGCTTCCCTTCAACTTTCCCACTTCTAATTCATGTTATAATAATAGTTGATGTATGCTGATTACTTACCATCACCTGGCTTGGTGATAATCTTTTATATACCTTATCATATTTATCATCAATAATAAATCTATGAAGATTTGTTATTTCCACTTTGAAGAGGACAGGGGTTTGTCATTCTTTCTTTATTGATAAGGAAATACGGAGAAGCATGGAGAGATTGCATAATTGGATGATTACTTTGGACAATCTGTCCAAGGTCATATAACCAGTAAGAGACAGAGAAGGAATTTGAAACCAGGTCTCTGTGACCCCAAAACTGATGTTCTTAACCATAGCCTTTATCTTCTGTGTATTTTTTGTAGATACGTAAGTGCCCCTAGAATAGATGGAAGTTTTAGTAAAATCAGTGCCCTTGAACAAGTCCCTTTAGAAGCTGACTCAAATGTAAAGAAAAATAAATGAATTTCTCTTGCATCCTTCAGCCATTTAAATTCAGGACCTTGGTTTCCTTCTCTATAAATTAAAAAGGTTGAGCCATTTCATCTCCAGAATTCCTTTAACAATAAAACCTTAAGTGTAAATAAAAGATGCTATAAATTGTTCAGTCTCCCTTATAATATAATCCATTTAACCCTTCTCCCATCCCAAGAAATTAACTGAAGTAGTTTTTCATATGAATATGAGAAGTCAGTGCCTCCGGACACAATTAAAACACTTAATTCCTTCCCTCTCAATTCTGACACCTATTAAATGCCAACCATGAGCCAGGGTTTGCTTTATTTAAAATACAAGGTAATGAAAAACTTAAGAGGAAATGAAACAAGGAAAAACGAGTAAGAAATTACATCATATCATTGCTACTTGTGAATCTGTCAAGACTTTAGGTATTTTCCATTGATTAAACAGTCTAATGGGTAACTTAGTTAACTTTCTCAGCACAGCAAAGGAAAATAAGGGTCGCTTCAAATGACTTTCCTTTTGGACAGTGTTAATGTTAAAAGAATAAATGTTAATGTTAAAATGTTAATGTGTTAATGTTGTTAAAAATGCATGTTGAATTTAAGATACAGAGAGAATAATTTACACATTGCAAGCTAATTGGAATAAATAGTACAGAGTTACTGGATCAATATAACAAAACACATCATGTTTCAGGTAAGGAAGATAGAAGGATATAAATCTGTGAAAAACTTAAGAGTGAGAAAAGAAACAGAAAGGAATCCTCTTATCATTTATCCTCAAGTATTTACTATGCACTCAGCACCATTTTAGCACAGTTATGTTATTTAGTACTCACAATGATCCTAGTGGTACTTATGATTAGTCTGAATAATTTGCATTCAAAACCTTGATTATTTAGTTAAATAATCTATCTAAGCTCATTTCAGTCATGTCAGTGTTGGATTTATAGAACAGATTTGTCTGGCTCTGAAATCTCATGGACTTAGTTATAGAAGTTTGAAATTGTTAATTTTATTTTATGGGCTTGAATGTCTAAAAATTAGTCATTTATATAAGTTGAACTTCTGTAACAATAGATATTTTCTGCTTTAATCACCACCTTTCTAAGGGATCCCATTGGCTCCACTGTCCTTACAATTTTGGAAACAACATAACCTGACATTCTCCTCAACTTCGTCTTAGCCTTTATTTTTATGGCTCGTAATATTTTACAAGGTTCCATGGAAATTCAGCTGACCCAATGGCTTTGTAGGTTTGTTCAGGTTTTTTTTAAGATCTTACCATTTAATAATGGAAAAAGAACCAAATTATTTGTCCATCACTGCCTTCACTTGAGTGCGTGGTTGCTTTCTGTTGACTTTTTGTCCAACGATTGTACTGCTGGTTTTATTCTTGAATATCAAGCTGCAAGGCCACTGACACTCCTATGTTGTCACATCATAATTTATTATCCCATATTTTCTTTCATCTGAAATAATCTATAATGGCGGGTGAGCAGTTGTCACAGTTACAGCCTATTTTAACCAGCAACAGGATAAAGCCGTCAGTGTGTACACTTGAGATAATGTAATTGATTTTGTTACCTCCTTATAAATATACTGCAAGATCATTATCTCTTTTGGTACCAAGTAGAGATGGAACCCACAGAGTGATAACAGCAGCTGTGTTTTATTTCTATTTGTGTCTGTATCTGGGAAGTAAATGGTTTTGCTTTTTTTTTTCTTCTGGTTTTAAATACTAGAATTAAACATCTTTGCAGGGAACATTTAATTATAATTACCTACACTTATCTAATGGTGAAATCAGAGAAATTTAGAGTTTTCTGATCTTTAATTTTCAACATGATTGGGAAGTAGAACATCAAAGAGAATAGATATTTTCCTTACCAGATTCATGCATAAATATTGCCTTAGCTAAACTACAAGGATAATAATATTAACTACAACTATTAATGTTAAAATAAATATTAACATTAGCTAATATTGGCTGAATATGTACTATATTCCAGGCACTATAGAAAAAGATTAATTGTACGCCTTCAGTGACTCCTCACAACCTTAGGAACCGAGTCCTATCGCCACTCCCATTTTTAAGATGAGAGGTGGGCAGCTTGTCCAGGGGCACATGGTTGGAAGTCATAGAGTTGGACTTGAACTTGCTTGGTCTGACTCCAAAGTCCAGCTCCTTAACCAGCCAGAAGTGGAACTGGGGAATGGCAGGATGGATGGACACTTGTACTCCTTACTTTGCACACTCTTAGAATAAAACAATGAAAAAAGGCATAGTAACAACAACAAAAAAATCTCAGATTCTGTTTTGTGAAGATGATGGTGATTTACTTCCTGCTTCTCTTTCTAATTTAGG